CGCAACGCTTGATCTCGTGGCTGTCCCGGTCCACGACCCAACCGTCGGCAAAGAGGAAATACGTCCTGGTCTCCTCCACATCCAAGTTCAGGAGCTGCTTCATGAGTGCGGTGACCGCGGCGGTCCTTCCCTGGGATCGAGCAATCCAGTTGGGCAGGCGGTCCTCGTTGTTCAGTGTTCACGTCGTTTTTCCAGATCCCGTCAACGAGCTCGGTTTTGAGGAACACCGGCTCCATCTCCGCTTCGGTGTGAAGCATCCAGCGCCCAGCCTGCTGGGACGAGGTCGCCACTCTGACCGCCTTACCACTCTCGGGCACGGTCTGGTGAACCTCGGAGAGAAGGTACTCGCTCCCATCCACCGTCACCGGCTTATGCATAAGCAGCTCCGACAACAGCAGCTCGGGGCACTCCTTGCCGGACATCATGAACTCCCCGAAATGCACACGTCCAAGGCCGAGGAATCCTCCCCGGTCCCGCATTTAGGATCTTGTCGGGGGATCTGCACTCCTTGATCGCCATCTCCCGACATCCTCAGCCGCCTTCACGAGCCCGGCCTTCCATGGATCCGCCGTCACGGCCGCAGCTCCATCTGGATGCCTCACCACGACACCGTCGTGCTCGATCGAGACTACGATGCCCAAGTCGTCCTCTTGCAGCTTCTCGATGACCTTGTCGATCGCCTCACGCTCGAGCTGCTCGCACAGCGCCTCCATTCACGTGGCCTGCTCCGGGAAAGGCTTGCCTGTTCCGGAGCTTCTTGATCAGGGCGGGATGCTCCGCGGCCACTTTCTTGCGGAGCGTCTTCTGCTTTTCCAGGAAACCCTCTTGCCGCCGCGCAAGAGGCCGTTGAAGAGCCTCTCCACCAATCGCGGCCGGCGCCCATCTCGGCCAACCCTCGACCCAGCGCTAGGTCGGACTCCAGCGCGCGGCTGTGTCATGCCTTTGCTCACCTGACGCCCTGTAAAGCATGGCCCTCTTGAAGAGGATCGTAGTTGATGAGCTCAACCAGAATGAAACTGGCAAACTTCGCCACGGGGCCAGGGACCCTTGCCTGCAGCGTGCATCACGATCTTGCTTCAATGGTCACCAAGGAGGGA